TTATTTCGTTTTTTTTTTTTCTTTCTCCCCGTAGTAAATTTAAAATTCAATTTACGTTAAATTTTATGTTTGCGCACGCGCACGCGCACACAAATTTAAATTTTTTTTTCCACCCGTAAATGTAATGTAAATGTAAGGGTCTAAGGGAGAGGGAGGAAGGGAGGAAGGAAGGAAGGAAGGGGAGGAGAGCGGACGGAAAGGGCGATGGAAAAAATTATGGGAAAAGATTTGAACGGGGGGAGGGGGAGGGGGAAAGAAAAAAAAAGGATCGAATGATTTTCATTTTATGTATAAATTTTGGAATGTTCCAGAAGGAAAATTTCTTTTTTTAACATTATTTCCATTTGTTTTCTGTTTTTTTTTTTATTGCGTTCGTTATAAATCTTTTCCCCATTTTGTTTTTTTTTTTTTTAAACGTGGAAAAGAAAGTTTATTTTCTTTCCTTTTCCTTCCCCCTCCCCCTCTTTACCCCTCTTCCCTCTCCCCGCTCTTCGTGACGGCTGTTGTCGTTTTTTTAATGTCTCGCATCGGTAACGTAAATAATAAATTTGAAAAAAAAAAAAAAAAGGAAAACACGAAACTTTAAATTTATATTTATATAGATTGTAAAACTGCGACATTTTTTTTTAAACGGACCCTTGTGTGCGTGTGTGCGTGTTTGTCGTTTCGTCGACAAAATCGTAAAAGAAAAAGAAAAGATGGCGGTTAGTGCGCGAATTACGTATATATCATACGTCGCGTGGTTGTTTGTTTGTTGTTTGTTGTTTCGATTCGTCCAAATTTTTTTTTTTTTTTTTTTTAGAACTCATTGAGCTTCGTTTTTTCTTTTTTTTTTCTTTTCATTCATTCATTCATTCATTCTCTCGTTTGTGTCGTCGTTTGTCGTCGTCGTCGTCGTCGTCGTTTTTCTTTTTTTACTTCATTTTTCAAATTTTTTTTTCATTTCGTCGTTTTATTTTTAAAAATAAATTGCGTTGAGTTTTTTTTATTAATTATTATTATCATTATTATTATTATTATTTTGTTATTAATAGATCGTGATTCAAATTTAGTTGAATTTGCAATTTTTAAATTTTTTTTGTGTGTGTGTTTGAAAAATGAAAGAAAAAAAAATATAAATGAAATGATTTATGTTCGTGCGATAAAGGAAATCGTTTTTGATCGATCGATCGATTGATTGATTGAATAATATTTATAATAATAATAATAATAATAAGACGAGACGCGAGCGGTGTCAAATGATGGCGACGGGGGAAAAACCGCAAAAATCCCGTCGTAAAATTTCCCTTCCATGGTTCAGACAGGGATCCGTGAATAAACCTCATCACGGTTTGACGAGACAACACACGATTGATACTCCCGGAGGTTTTCATGCTCGTTTTTTACATCGTCAGCATTCCCAGGTCGAGGTAAGTGTTCGACTAAACAAATAAGGCAAAGAAAAGGAAACGGCGGGTAGAAGGTAGAAGAGGGTGGATATATGAATGATTGCTAGGAAGAAGTTTCCTCTCCGACACGCCGCCGACAAATACAAAATAAAGACGAAAATGATTAATAATAATAATAATATTAATGATAATAATATTAATGATAATAAATATTTCGAAAAGAAAGAAAATGAATACGTGACGTCATCGTACATGTCGTTAAGATTAAAAATAATTTCTTATGTTTACCCTTGATGACGATGATGACGATGACGATGATGGGAGGGGATAAAAATGATTGGATTGATTTCATTGGCCGTCGAGTAATTTGGGGTGGAGGGAAAAGAAGAAGGAGGAGGAGGAGGAGGAAACTACTTCCGGTTTTGCGATTTCTCAACTTTCTCCTCCCCCGTGAGCGTGTGTGTTTGTGAAATGCGTCCGCGTTCAGAAATTTTCACAAATGACCCATTTTTTCACCTATTACGTAACCGATGTGCGTTCATATATATATAATAAACGCATATGATGCATTTCGGTCACGTGTTTCTCTCTCTCTCTCTCTCTGTCTTTCTCTCTCTTTCTCTCTCTCTCTGTCATGTTACGACAGGTGTGAATGCATCAATGTTTATCGTTGTCGATGATCCAAAAATGTAATTTTTTTTTTTGGATTTGTTATAATTGATTTTGGCAACGGTCATTTTTTTTTTTTTTATATATATTTTGAAAATAAAATTTTCCTTTTTCTCTCTTTCTCTCTCTCTCTTTCTCTTTTTTTTATTGATATTAATAATTTTTTTCTGTTGTTTTTTTTTAATAGCCTGTTGTCGAAATGACTTGGGTCATAGGTGATCACGTGGCTGCTCCGGGAAGTCAAGAACTCACCGTTCACAAGGGACAACAAGTCGAAGTTCTCGACGTTAACGTTTCCTCACCCGATTGGTGTCTCGTTAGAATGTCTACATCCGGTTCCGTCGATTCTCCGCCGGAAGGACTCGTTCCTCTGTCCATTTTGAAACAGCCTCCCGGTTTGAGAACTTCGCCCTGTAGGAAAAATTCAAACGATTTGGAAACAGGTAGGAATTCAGTGTAAACAAATTTTCCAGATTTTTTTTTTTTCGCGATGGCGGACGGTGAGAAATGCGATAAGGGATGGCAACCGATTTTTCCGACGCGTTCGACCTTGAGAAAATTTTGATAAAACAAGGTTTTAGGATCGAGAGAAAAAGAAATTTTATTTTTGATAAAGATTTTTGGCACGGAAACCCTGTTCGAAATGTCCTTGATTAAGTAAAATCTTCTTGACGTCTTCTTCTTCTTCATCTTCCCAACTGTTGAAATCGATTTTTTTTTCTTCTTATTCGAATGTATGATTTTATGTGTGTGTGTGTGAGAGAGAGAGAGTATAATTAATTGTCTGAATTATCATTATCGAAATTTTTGGTTAAGATTTGACCGAGAAACACGAACGAAATCAACGAATAATGAATAATGAATTGTTATTGTTTGTTTAATTATTATTATTACGCATTGGAAAATCTCCAAATTTCTCGCGGTCGAACAAACGTTTAAAAAAAAAAAAACTATGTAAACATGAAACAATGATCGTTTTAACATTCGACACGCAATAAAAAAATAATGATAATAATAAAGAAAAACTGGAATACGGTACTGAAAATAAAACACACATAAACGCGCGCGCTTTACGTGCATTGCGTTCGTTTTTGAAAACTCGCGCGTGTGAGAGAGAGATAGATAGATGGAAAATTTAAGAGGAAATTCGGAAAAGAGTAAGATGTTTAAATTGACCTTGAACATTGCCAGGGATGAACCCCACCGCATTGATACTGAGGAAGTAGAAATGAGGGGAAGGAAGAGGAGGGGAAGGGGAAGGGTATTGAATAGAAAAGTCGGTGCATCGATCCGCCCGGGCTCTCTCTACGACCTCTCACTCTCTCTCTCTTTCTCTCTCTCTCTTCCCCCCGTCTCTTTCTCTCCCATGCAGTTTTCCTCTCCTCTCTCTCTCTATTCTCTCGCCGCTCGCCTGCGTCAGCTGATTGCGCCATTTCACAAACTTCGTCTTATTATTATTATTATTATTATTATTATTATTATACGTATATATACATTTACCGTCCGTAACAAATCAAGGCGTGAGCTTTTTTTTTTTTTTTTTTTTTTTTTTTTTTTTTTTTTTTTATGACGTGTTGTCTTCTTCCACTTTTTTTTCTCACTCTTTTTCTTTTTCTTCTTCTGCTTCCACTTCCGTTTTTCAAAATATTTTATTTCGTCGTAAATTAAATTTATATTTCCCGTTTCCGGTTCGACTATTATTATTATGTTAACCGTCTGAGTACATTGATATTATCGCGATAGGTGATAGGGGGGGGGGAAATTTGATAAATCGAATCGAATCGAATGATGACGTCATTTTCGTAACATGATAAGTTGCATATACGATTCGCATTGAAGATGAGATTTTTTTTTTTTTTATCGTAACGAAATTCGATGATCGGATTTTGTGAAAAAGGTCGATCCGGAAATTGACCTGAAACGATTTCGATCGTGACACAATGATGATCGTTAACAATGTGGAAAAACGAATCCGAAAGGGGGAGATTGGGGGAGGGGAAAGAGGAAGGAAGGGGAGGAGGTAAAAGCAAAAAGAACAAAAGAAAAAACTCGATTTTTTTTCTTCCTGTGTGCATGCAACTTTGAACTTTGTTGTAATATGATAGAGAGAGAGAGAGAGAGAGAAACGAATCGAAACGAAAAGAAAAATGATCGAAACGGAAGAAAAGTGAAAGAGGGGGCGGGGAAAGGGGGGGGGTAAAAAAGAAAAATGAAAGAAATTTAAAAAAATATTTAATTGTCAATGTGATGATGAAAACTCAGTCAGGCTTCTTAAAAAAAAAAAAAAATTAAAAATCGTCACGTATTTGCTCCGCCATTTTGATTAATTTTTGTTGTTTTCTCTCTCTCTCTCTCTCTCTCTCTCTCTGCATCCCCTCCCTCTTTCTCTTCCCCATCTCTCTTTCTCTCTCATTTACCGCCTTCTTTCACATTGTATATTTTTTGTTTTTAACATTTTCCACTCGAATAAAATTTGTTTTTGTTTTTTATTTGTTCTCCCCCCCCCCCCATTCTTTCGATTCGATAATTATTATTATTAGTATTGTTTAATTTTATTATTATTATTATTATTTTATTTTATTTTTCCGGTCGTTAAACATCCGATCGAATTTCCATTTCCGTCGTTTGAACAAAACCCCTTCCCCCTTTCCGTCATTTTCTTTCTTACGGTTTTTTTTGTTTGTCTTTCTTCTGTCGAGGCAAATGTTTTGCAATTATTATTATCATCATCATCATTATCATTATTATCGTCGTCGTCGTCATCATCATTTCCATCGCAAAACAATTGGAATTTTTCATTTTCTTCGTAGGAGTCGAGTGGGTCGATGATTTTTCACCGAATATATATATATATATATATATATATATATATATATATATATATTTAATGAAAACGTGATGATGTTACGATTAAAATAATCACAATAATAATGATAATAATAATAATAATAATAATAATGATGATGATGATGATAAAAACGCACGAACAATCGTGTCACCTTTGCGTTGTTGTTGTTGTTATTATTGTTTTGACATCTGCCACGTTCGAATCGCGCGCGCGAAAGAGAGAAACGACGTGTCAACGTGACATAAACGAATTCGACCCTCACTCTTAGTTTAATTAATTGTCATCAGATTCTAGAATTTTCGAGAAAAAAAACAAAAAACATGGCGTAAACAAAGACGCAAAAATTCGACGTGCAAAAAAACCTTGGAGCGGGAGGAAAAAAAAAAAAAAAAAAAACGTGACGATTTTTCCCTTTTTTCATTCGTTTGTTTGTTTGTTGATTCACTCGTTTCGATGTTTTTCGATGTGTAAAAAACGAGTTAGAGAAGAAAGGTTGAATCGAAAGGTGATCGAGATATCGTTTGTTTTTTTTTTTTTAATTTACGTCACGCGCGCCATTTTTTTTTATAGCACGAGATATGTGCGCGGTGTCGAGAATATCTTTTTCGAATGATTTGCTTTGTTTGTTTTGTTTGATTGTTTGTTTGTTTGTTTGTTTGTTTTTTTTTCACGCGTTTTAGGAAAGGGAAAAGAGCAAGGGAGAATGATGACGTCATTAATCGAAATGATTATTTATAGTTATTATTATTATTAAACAAATTTTTTTTTATTCGCGTCGTTGACGTTCGGTTTGGATTCGCACGAATTGGTCAACGTTCATCATCATCATCATCATCATCATCATCATGGTTACTATTATTATTATTATTATCATCAATGGAAAATTTTTCGGTTTTAAATGTACGATTTACACGCACACGATCTAAATTGAATTTTTCAATTGTTTTAAATTATTAATTGACATTTTCCTTTATGGGGTGAATTAGTCTGTGTAAGATGGCGGCGAATTTTGATTTTCAAATAAGAAATAATTTTTTCAAAATGTCTTCCGCGATATGTTCTTTTCCGCCATTTTGTTTTTTTTTTTCCCCCTCTAATTGTCGGTCGAAAGAGAAAATGGCGAAAAGATTTCTCTCACGTTTCGACTTGATAAATTTGAATTGTCACAAAGTCGATTATACGTATATATATATTTTGTTTCCGTTTCCGCCGTTTTGAAAAATGTCTCTCTCTCTCTCTCTCACTTTCTCTCTCTTCCTCTTTCTTTCTCTTGAACTTTTTTCCTTTTGCTAGGAAATTCGTCTGTCGTCATTCATCGTTTCATCCGTTTCGCATTTAATTGCAAATCATTTTCAAAATTGGAATTTTCCTTTTTTTTTTGTTTGTGAAATTGCGACATTTTTTCCTTGTTTTGTCCGGGAAAATCATCGTGGAAAACGTTTCGAAAAACGATTTGAAAATTGATCGATAATAATTATAATAATAATTTTCATTTAACGGAAAAAAATTATTACACGAGTTATTTATTATATTTCGTCACAATAAAAATCGATCAAATCGCGAATTCCATAGAGTAATAAAAAAAAAGAAAGCTGAGAACGGTGTAGGAGCCGGGGGTGGGGAGTGAGGGGTGGAGAGGGAAGGGAGCAGATCATTCAATCAAGAAAATCAGAAAATTTTTATGAAAAATCACGTTTTTCTTTTTTTTTCTCACTTTCATTCAAGCTTTTACTTTTTTTTCGTTTTTTTTTTTTTTGTTGCCCACGACGGTGGCGACGGTTACGCGACCGGAAATGAAATAAAAAAAAAAAGAATGAATAACGACGACCGGAACTACTTTCACTACGGGGGGAAAAAAAAAGGGGAAAAAGTATAAAAAAGGAAAGAAACGACGATGCGATTGTAGGACGACGTGGGAATTTTCCGGGAAAAACTCTTCCCGCTTTTCTGTTTTTTCCGTAAAAATTTTATTAATTGGAACACGCGCACGCACACCCGCACCCACGCAAAGTCGATAAATCATTTATTTATTTTATTTTTTGTTCTCCCCCCCCCCTTTACCCCCTTTTCCTCCCCTTTCTCCTTCCCTGATTTCATTCATTTCTCGTTTTTTTATTTTTATTATAATTACTACGAAATAAAAGATTTAAAAAAAAAAAAAGACAAATGAAAAATGGCGAATAGAATTCGAAGAAAAAGTAACAATAATAATAATAATAATAATAATATTTATTAATAATAATAAGAATATAAAAATGACGTCACGACGTTTTGTCGTCGGTTTGTTAAGTGTGTGTGGTCGTGCATGGTTGGTTTCAATGTTACAAAAATCGTTCAGTTTGATTTTGGCATCGTATCGATACAAGTCGAAACGAGGAAAACTCGTTTGTTTGTCTTTTTATCGCGCGGATTTCGATATAAAATCTCGAATTTTATTTTTATTTATTAATTTTCTTACAAAGATTTCGCGAGTTTTTTTTGTTGTTTGTTTGTTTGTTTGATGGAATCGCGAATCAATTTTCCTTAAACGATTTCTTTTCTTTTCCTTCCTTCCTTTCCTTTTTACCTTCCTCCCTCTGTTTTTCCTTTTTCGTC